TACTGCGTTGAACTTCAGATTTTCTAAAATTTGCAAAAAAAAAATTCAAATTCTCCAAAAATCCTCTTTTCGTTTATTCCAGAAGCCAGACTCCCTCGTCTGACTTCATCTGGAAGGTTGGCTTGTTTTTTAATCGCTTCGTATAATATTCGACAGTTTCTGGATCTTTATAAAATCCATAAAATGCGAGAATCGAAGTTTCACGGCAATTAAGCATTTACTATTATACTATGGTGTCCTGTCACACGAACCCGTTGTGAGATATTATCAGACCATGGCAGCAATGAAACGGGATCTCCCATGACTCAGCGTTTATAGGAATTCGTTGCTGGGTCACATGTGTGCCCCGCCTAAAGTTAGAAGCCAGCTGTTCGTCAGGCCATTCATCACTCAATAACACCAACAGTCGTATTTTCGCTTTATAATTGCACTAACGGTCGCTGATGATAGCTAATGGGCCTTCTCACCAGAAATAAGGCTCAATTCTATATCGAGAGGTTAAATCAAACAGGAACGTTCACAAGTTTCACACACCAATCGCCTTTGTAAAGCTGTGACCGCGAAGGATAAATAGAAAATCTCAGCTCATTCTGATACCATTGCAGCAATCTGGACTATACGTCTGGAATAATTTTGGGTTGTTCAGCCTTACATTACTCCACTTGTTGGAACCGGGCGCGAGAGCTCCAAAGTTTCGTGACAGTAGTGGGTGTTATGTAACAGCTGTGACGATTGACCGTACCCAATTACAAACACAACACTATTCGTAATTAACCATTTATTGCATCTATATACAAAATGATGATTGGCAATGAGCCAATCAATATACAAAAGGTGCTAGAATCTACTACTGTAGATTCTAGGCTTTAACCAAGCTAGGGAACGGGGACTGTCCGCAATTCACCTGCCATCTTGTACGATTGAACCATCTTCTCGCCGAGGATGTTCAATGGTACACTTCCTTCTGAACACAGAAGGGCGACCATCGCGTGAGCCACGCTTAGGCCAACGTGCATCTGTAGTCGTCTTGTACGAACTACTGCACAACTGCTTTCCACACGGGGAAAGATCCACTCTTCAACTGGTGTGAAGAGAACGAAGCTCGCATCGGGCGACGCTTCGGAGTCAGGGGGAGCCCTCTAGCACGTAGAGTTAATCGCCTAATCGTACACAACGATCTCGGGAAACTCCCCTCTCGTTTTCCGAGAGAGACCGATCTGCTCACATCCCGTGAGCTCGGCAAAACTCCAGACTGACTGATCAGCTCGATCAGAAGACGGATCGACAGTAGATGGGGGCGTGGCTTAGGTTTACGACCATAAGAGAGAATCTCAAGTACCTAAGGTTACACCTAGGGATACTAGTCTGCACCTGCATGCACTTTTACAACCTGCACGCGGCCCCATCTCAATCCGAGATATTACTCACAAGTTATCTAAACTTGGATGATACAGTAAATGACTAAGGTTACCCATATACTACACTCCATTAGCTGTGAAGTGGTGTAATAGCGGGGAGGTTGAGGGGGGTCATCGCAGCGCGGCGTGGTGGCATTTCAGCAACATTCGTTCAAGGAAAAAAGCTCTAGCGTGTACTAACCATTCTGCCCTTCCCGGAATGTGACCAATCATTAGCATTTCTAACAAGTTCACGTACGTGCCGCCCGTTTTCGCTCGCTTTGCGGTTTAAGATGCGGACGGAATACATGCAGTTGACTTCGGTGCAAGATCGACGTTCTAATCATGTCTGCGGAGGAAATGTTCGACCCAAATAGATGGACCTCGGAGCGGTGGGGAAATGTGGCTGGCTGAGTGAGATCCGATTCCTATACGGAGTTCGAGTGCACAGGAGTCAGGCACGTGCGAAGTTGGACCATTTACCCCTGCACCGCTTACCAAATGTTTCAAAAGTGGAAGTATGAACAAACATTGCTGAAAGAAAACTAAACTAACGGACGCGGATGCCGTCACGGCGTCCTACATCACTAGTGCTTAATGCAATAGATATTTGTGCATCCGAAATAAAGAGCTTTTGATCGCCTATTGAGGACATACAGCAGAGTACGTGTCAAGTTGCTGCCAGGGTTGTCCACCTGTTTTTCAAGGTGAAGTGCATGAATCACATTTTAATTTTCTCAGTATTGTGCTGTCCCGGAGCCTCATCAGGACCTAAATGTTATAAACACAAAGAGGCACCAAAATTTATTCCAAAAGAGTCCCAAAAGTTCACAAATTATTCGAAAAAACTCCAAAATTCCAAAAAACACGAAAAGTTTCAAAAAGAACTCCTTTGAAATCTTCTGCTATATTTCGGTGTTCGCAGCGAACGGAACCGTATTTAGTTACTTTGTTTTAATGTTTTTCTTTCTTAATTAACAACCTTCGTTCAGGCCTGAAATACATTGATTTAACGTTCTTTTGAATTTTTGTCGATGTATTTTTTTTTTTGGAAGTTGGCGATTTTGCGAATATTGTGGACTTTGGGACTTTTTTGGAAAACATTTAAATCACTATTTATTGTGAACTCGAGAAAGCGTCCAGAATCTGACATAACTTTCATCCTGACAATAGAGAGGAACATGTGAAAGGACCGCAGAAATGCTTCTATGGAAGGGTTTGTCATCCGATAGACTACACTCAAATGACTCTCTGTTCATCATGAGATGTGATTCAGAAGAGAATCAAATTGTGTTAAACCAAGATTCTACTGCGCAAGGTGAGCCCTAGCAGCGTCAAAGGTAGTGGCTGGCAGCAGGTACAACCCCCGTATCGAAGGTCTCCGACAAGGTCCCCTCCCCATGGCCAATGACCCCTTAATAGTGTAACGAAATCCTTTCTTAACAGTTGGTGAGTAAGGAATGGGAGGGGGGCGGGAGCGGCTGGAAGCGACGAAGTTAAAGTTGAGGTCTGTTGAAGCCATCTGGACGGCGTCCGTAACATTAGATGAACTGTATTCGCCACAAAATTAATGAATCGAATGCTCGAATATGCACCCGCCCCCCTATTCACACACCCATTATTTGTTCGAACCCTCATAGTCATTTGAACGTAAGGTCTTTCGATTTCGGGGTTCCCATATCTCGACGCGCTTATCAGTTCAACCGTAACCCGGGTTGTGCCTCGGTCATGTGTGTCGCCGTTGGCCGCTGGCCCCGCCCCTCGGCTATAAAACTGTGCCAAAGTCGACCGACCGCGGGTCAAGTCTGTGCGACATGTTACGCCTGGTGTCGGGCGCTTCTCTGCGTGTTTAGCTTTAGCTAGTATTGATGGATTTAGACGGTCAGTTCGATTCACTAATTTGCTTTATATGCGTCATATATGATTTTTTCTTTGAAAACGTGGCTAAATGAGCAGCGATGTGTTATGAAAGGGAATCTGTCCGGGTTGGTGAAACTGTCTATGGTGTTTTATCACCAATGTTTTTCAATTCATGGTTGATTGTACTGATCATATCATTCTATGAGTAACAAAAAGGGCATTGTTCTCTCCTATCTCAACTTGTACTTCAATTATTCATAATATAAAAGATGATATAGAAGTTTGGAAGTAATACAGTGAAATTGAACTAATCTGGTTCATCAGAAGGGGGGAGGGGGCATCAAGTGGCTGCCTCACTCCCTCCCCTAGACTGCTACACTCCCCCTGGCGCACAGGTTTCTCGAAGTACGGGACCCCGTGAGCCAGGGGGTGAAGGCAGTCTAGGGGGTGGGGGTGAGGGCAGCTACTTGACGTTGCATCACAATGCCCCCCCCCCTTACTGGATGAGACCCGATAAATAGCATAGTTTCATATAAAAGCTATTGGTGGTTGTCGTGTTTCGAAAACTTTCGAATGGCTCTTCACCAATTTGCCCACCCGCCCCTATTGGGCAGACCCCTCATCAATCGCACAGAATGTGGAGTAAATAAAGAAATGAATTTGGGTTAAGGACATCGCACCGTACAAGAGAATCAGCTAGTTCAGAAATATTACTCTTGAGGAGTATCCCGAGGCCTTTCTGGCCACTATTTACTGCTCAGTATTAAAATTCCCTAATTGTTTCTAGCTGGTTTGCTCGTGGCATTCCTGCCTTGTTCTTTGCGAGATCTAGGCAGCGTATTACTTTTGATTATTAACAAGTTTCTTTCGCAACTCAAAATTTGTGACTTATCTTCCTTTCGAAACATATGGAAGCCATTGAAATTCAATGAATTCTTCACAGTTATATCTCGTTTGCGAGTTTTTTGGAGTTAACTAATTTGCTATTACATAACCAGTGCTTCCTTTACGATGCATTCAAAGTCTTTGCATCACTTTGTCCGATTTCATCAGATTGTGATTTCATCAAGTTGCTCACGAGGCCACGAATCCTGATCTTTTCTTAGTCGCAGTAGGGGCAGCTGTCGTTGTTATAGTATGATGAAGAAATGAGCTTGGTTTCGATCGAGAATGTCACCTGATCGAAGTGACGGCCACTCTTTGTTGTTGGTGCTGGAAGGGAATCTGACCTGATAGGAGGTGCAAAGGGTAATGAAATGACTCATCGTGCTGTACAGATACGGTTTTCTATCGGAATAGTTTCGTAATTGCTTAATTAAGCTCTGGCTCTGCTGGCAGCTGCTACTATTACTAACGCCCCTATTTCTCAGGTCTGAGGGGTTTTAGCAATAACTTCATGATTTTTACAGAATTCCAACTTGTTTTTTAACGAGTCAAATTCGTGATATGTGCAGAGTTTCAAAAATATTTTTCCAATACTTTACGGGCTTGCTTATGGGTTTCATGCAGTGTGTGGAACAAATCTGTAGATATTCTTGGTTTTCTTCAGGCATGATCATGGCGTACGGGTGCGCAGACAGAAGAGTCTCCGCCAGAAAATAGACGAAGGCTTTTGATAAATGGGACGATTACAAGCAAGCTTTTGGTATGTTTAATTCACAATTCCTTAATTTCAGTACTGCCACCAGCCGTACATACAGGCTGTAACAAGGAAAGTGCCTTTGAGTTGTGTAGCCATCTGTCATTAGCCATTGTTAGCGAGCTGCACCCCTTTTTCATGCCTGGCAAAGAATTGCTTTGAAAACTGCAGTTCTGTCACATTTACTAGCTGGTACTATTAAATACCAGTAGTAAAGATTATGTAGCAGTTAGTAGTATTATAGTTAGTTGACGGCATTGGAGTATAGGGTAACAGTGAGTTTATTCTACAAGTGAACTCCGTAAATAAGTCATTCGATTTTGAGTTCAAAGGATTCTTCCTTTTTTATTGCAGGGAAGTCATACGATGCGGATGAAGAAAATGACTTTATGGAGGCATTTGTAAAGAATGTGATTCACATCGAGGAACACAATAAGGAGCATCGTTTGGGTAGAAAGACCTTTGAGATGGGATTGAATGAAATTGCTGATCTGGTGAGCTTTTAGTTTTCTCAGACAAACTTGAGTCGTTTTAACAAGTCTGTTTAGCCCTTCTCGCAATATCGAAAACTTAACGGGTATCGTCATCGTCGTCAATATGGTGACTCTATGCGATCAAATGGTACCAAGTTTTTGGCACCATTCAATGTTCAGGTGCGTTAACCCTTCAGAAAGGAACTATGTGGAGTGTAATCAGATTACATTCATGGTTACCAATTCATGTGCTCGGACGGAAACAGTTTGGGAATGTAATGATAAAAACATTTCATTGGATATGGTTGTGTTTTGGAAAAGTTTCTCATTTTAATGTGTTGTAGGTCCCAGATGATGTGGACTGGCGTGAAAAGGGACTTGTAACCCCAGTGAAGAATCAAGGAATGTGCGGATCATGTTGGGCATTTTCTTCTACTGGTGCGCTTGAAGGACAGCACGCACGTGCTACTGGCAAACTGGTTCGTTACTGCTTCTACCTTTCTTCCTGATTGATGTGCTGTCACATCAAAACACTCGCATTGTTTAGTCAACAAGTATGACTTTCTCATGCGGAGAGCTGACATCTAGAGATGGAAACTTGCGGACATTTCTCTTAGTGAAAATTCTTAGGTCTCCCTCTCCGAGCAAAATCTTGTTGATTGTTCGACGAAGTATGGAAACCATGGCTGCAACGGTGGTCTTATGGATTTGGCCTTCGAATATATCAAGGACAACCACGGCGTCGACACCGAGGACAGTTACCCCTATGTTGGAAGAGTGAGTGAGCTTTTATATCGGTGATGATGTGTTATTTGGATTTGCAAAGCCGGTTTCAGGACATGAAGTGCCACTTTAAGAAGAGTACTGTTGGAGCCGATGACAAGGGTTTCGTCGATCTCCCCGAGGGCGATGAAGAAGCCTTAAAAGTTAGTGTAGGAATTATACCATGTATTTATTTTTCAAATCGTTCCTTGTTGCCCACTAATTGACGCTCTAATTGTTCTAGGTTGCCCTTGCCACTCAAGGCCCAATTTCGATCGCTATTGACGCTGGTCACAGGACCTTCCAGTTGTACAAGAAGGGTGAGTAATTGGCTGTTATTATCCGTGGGGGTCACAGCTATCATATTACGCGAGTTGGGCATTTTCTTCGTTACAACGGCTTATTGCTTGTTTGGGTGGGCCGTGCTGTCCAGCACCTTATCTAATCTGCCTGTGAGGTGTCCTCGTCTGCCGATTTCTCAGTGGTACAATCCATTTTTAACCATTACTGATAACGCTATCTGTAATTGACGGGTGGTTAACAGTAGCGATTCTGACGAGGTATTCAAATGTGGGGTTGTTTAGCAGTTATATATTGTTTACTACCTCTTTGTACCTTCTAAAGTGGTGTTTTAATGAAATAAGATGTGGCTTTCAGGGGTGTACTTTGACGAGGAATGCTCTTCTGAGGAGCTAGATCACGGTGTCCTACTTGTAGGCTACGGTACCGATCCTGAAGCTGGAGATTATTGGCTCGTAAAGAACAGGTAAGAGTCTATATTTCTATCTCACTCAAATCGATATTGTTTATTTTAGTTGGGGACCAACCTGGGGAGAAAAAGGCTACATTCGTATTGCCCGCAATCCGTAACAATCACTGCGGTGTTGCTACCAAGGCAAGTTATCCACTCGTCTAGGGACGCAGCTCCGGAGTCTTCGGACGCAGATGGTCACCCGTTAACTACTACATCATTTCTTGTTATTTTGTATAGCTCGCACTTTGCTACCGCTCATTTCTCATTTTGATTTGTTTTATGTATATAGATGTGTTCTTCAGTCAATTGTTCAATAAACTTTCCGAAGTTACAGTACTCTCATGTTGCTGAAAACTTGGTTTCGGCATGTCATATCTACAGTTGCAATTCCCAAATACCCCGATAGTAGGACGATAGTGAATGTACCGTCGTGGTAAACTGAAATCAGCTGCCTCTTTTTTGAGCTTCGAAAACCATACCTGGGACGTTGTATGGCATCAAACAGCACTGAGATTTCTTATCAGTCCTATACTACTATGTTTTCCCAGTTGTACGGGTCGTAAAGTACGTTGAAGGAACATTGTTCTTAGGTGGTTCAGCTGTGCTCGTTTATGTATTCCAGGTGAATAGGGAGAGGGGGAGGGAGTGGATTGGGTGCAACAGTTTATGCTGGCTTTAGAGGATTCCAATTCGCAAAGCTAAGTGGTGTGTGTAACAGCGGAAAGCGGTGTGTAGTTCACCTCTGGAATGTACCTCCCCCTGCAGAAGTTTGAATAAGTTTGCTTCGAGCAGTATGAGCTATCACACCGCCCGCAGGCCTGCCAAATATTGGTGGCGAACCCAGAAAACGGTAACAGGGCCGTACCAGTGTCGCTCGTATCTCTGCACGCCGCCGATAGATAACCTCTAGCGTCTGACTCTAGTCATTTAGTGAAGAGAGCGTCAGCGTTGAAGAGGGTAGCACCGATGAGAGTCTCATCGTTGCGAAAATCATCGGAGAGCATTGACCACTGCTCACATACGTTTTACCATGGGTGTTTCAAAACGACTCTAAAAGATTTTACAAGATTAAGAAGAAAATGCGCAAAGTCTTTCGACAACCAATAGAATTGGCTCGAAGGATTCCCAGTGTTACTATCCCCACACCCTTCCATCCATTATCCGGCTAGTCGTTATTACTATAAAGCTTCCAGATTTTGCCATAATGTTGTTTATGTGCTTACAAGTAATAAAGAATAGCAAGAAGAACAGTCTTCTCCACGGAAAAAATTCAGATCCGAAAGTGTGTTAATGGTTCCTGAGGCTTCTAATCCGATGGTGTAGCGGGTATGTAGCTACATTGGGCTATGTAAACTTTACCATATGCTATTACGGCCACAGGACGATTGGCTAGAGCGGGTAGGGGAGTGAAGGCTTAAAGCAACAGTTCAGGGAGGGTCCGAAAATTTCAATGCCACTACTACTGAGGGATACACGAGCCCTAGTGAAGAACATATGCAGTGGAAATAATAAACGAACTTACCTCAGAAACTCAAAAACAGGGTGGAAAGTCCCTCAAACATGGGTGTTCTTGGGGATTTCCCCAATCCCGCCCCCTTGCCGGCCGTCATTGGACGCGTCGGCAATCGTGCTCGTTTTGGGACCACAGGGAAAATTGATTGAAAAATGGAGCGCGTTTACAGCGGGCACGTTCAGACAACTCGTCCAACGTGCGTCTTTATCCATTGCTGAGCGGCAGAGGGAGAGTACCTGTCTAAGACCCTCCCCGACGTTTTTTTCCAGTTTTTCATACATTAATCGTCTGGTTTTCATCTACAACTTCATTATTGGTGGTTTTTTCCCGCGAAACCGTTCCTGAACTGTTGCTTTAAGAGTAGGCGCAGGAAAGTGCAAATGCCTGGAAGAGGGGTGGTCATTATATGGTCCCCCGAACCATAACGCGAGACTATATAAATGGGAGCGCAAACATTTTATCTGTACAAGAGGGCCATGCCAATAGATGCTTTGGTGTGGTAAAAATTGGATACAGAGTGGAAGAAACGAATGTCTTCGTGAACGTTTATACAGAACAAAAACATTAGCAAACAAAATTTGTCTTTAAGTCTTTATTGTCTTTAAGTCAACGATACATGCAACTGTCTTTTGCCTTTGTAATCGAAATTTTTTGGTATTGAAAAGGTTTCAAATACCACCAATATCGACTTCTATTTCTTGCATACTACGAAAACAACGACTAGAATTATTACGACGATAAGTGCACCGACCACGATCCAGCCGACGATCTAAATTGATTTGTAAGAAATTCTGCCAAAATCAGCAATTTAGGTCCCGTGTTCCATAGCTTATTGTTAGATGACCAGTACTGTATCTCTCCCAGGAAACCTGTTTCAGGCGATTTCCTCAATGGAATTGAAACCTCAGCAAGTGCCGAGGTCATTCTTGTGAATCTGTTGAGTACATCTATGTACGTATGCTGCGTTTGGCGCCACCTTGAAATTAGAAAATCATTGATAAGTTTTCCTTTTATTTAGGTGTGGGCGTCTATTATTATTATTCCAAAGGGAGATGTGTGAGGTGCTATTGATTCATACTCTTTGCCAATTATTAAGGTAGAGTTTGCTGTGGCACGATTGCGTGATCACACGGGACTGGTGATGTAAAGCAGAGCCTCACACTGACTGCAGTGCGTGACAAACTGGGCCATCGACATTATTTGTTGTTAATGCTTCCTGGCAAACTTCGTCCTCCTCGATGCGCGCTCCACCCACCAATAGCACATAACCTCCCTTCCGTCGTCAGACTCCTTCCACTTTCTTCGCAGTCTCCAGGACATTTTGGAAGCATCTTGTAATGTTTCTTGGATGATATTACCCATCCTGTGCATGCTCCGCCCACCAATAGCAACAGATGACCTCATTTCCTTTGTAGCCGACCTCTATCCTCTTTTTAGCGACTGGGCGATACGGACGGTACGGGGCCCGTGGGGGGAGGTAAGCAAACCAGCCCTTTTGGCGTTTCGGCTGGGACCGTATGCTGAATGTTGGGGAGGGGATGGGGTCCCCAACGGTCGACGGTTTACTTCAACTCGGTTGGTACGATAGGAGAGTACTGACGCAAGTGGTGCAGCTGGTCCAGCAGCTCCGCCAGAAGGGCTGGTTTGCTCACCCCAGGACTAAGCCTTGGAGAGGGGACGGACCCGTCCTCTCTTTAAGGCTTAGTTCTGAGGTAAGCACCAAATTGTGGCGGTTCTAAGGACCGAGTTGAAGTGGTCCGTCCACCGTCGGGGACTCCATCCCCTCCCCAACATTCAGCATACGGTCCCAGCCGAAGCGCCAAAAGGGCTGGTTTGCTTACGTCGTCGGGCGCACCGTGCACCTCGGCCCATTCGCGCTCGGAAGCAAATGCGCAATGCTCCGCGCAATGCGCCCATTGCGTCATTGCCAGCCGTTGTTCGCCTACTATCAACGCGCTGAGCTGTCGGGTACACGCTGTCTGCCTAGCTGCCCCCAAGGTCCCCTGCTTGGAATGTACGTACTAGGTCGTTGCTTTCCCAGGCTTGGTATTCGTGGAGGTCGTCTTTTACCTTAGGCATGCGTGGGCTAACCCAGGCGAGGGGAACTCGGGATAGTCCATTCGGAGAGCGCCTGCCGTACCTTGTTTCAAGCTGGCCTGGTCTGCCTGAGGGAGGTAGCCGAGGAACTCGAGGTGCGGTTGCTATTAGTTCAATAAATATATTGTCTATATGTTGTATTTATGCTCATGTTGGTTTTGCCCTAATTCTATGTGTTTATTATGTATATTGTTTGTGCCATGGTTGGCAAGTTTTGCACCTTGGTTCTGACGGAGCTAGCGGAAGCAGGGGTACCATTTCAGGACCTATATCCTCGAGGGGTTGGTGCGCCTCTCCTGTGGGGTGCGCAGGAGAGGTGTTGTAGGCAGGGTCAACCGTCCGTTGGACAAAGTCAACGCGACGACGAGAGTAATGCCGAGAGTGAACACGTACGTACGGAGACACAGACGGCTCGCGGTGGCGGGAGGGAATGCCGCGCGGAGAGCGGGGAACATCGGTCCAACGTCGCTCCCAATATATCGGTCCAACGTAACGGTTGACCTGGTTGTAGGCTCGATGGAAAGACCTCGGACCAATAGGTTCGATCGCAATAGGCTCAAGCCCTGCTTGCCAAACCGACCTTCAAGACTTGCTGGAAGCGAGTTATAAGTTTGGTAGCAAACTCCGCCCACTTTTGTGTGCGCAGCGCTCGCCATTGACGTCCACCTCCTCTCGTTCTCTGACCTCTACCAAGCATTTTTCTGCTCTCAAGATTTCTCGGAACGAACTAATGAGGACTTGTAGGAAATGCTGCCCACTTTGGTACGCTCCGCTCTCGTCATGTATAATGGAAATATTGCTTCCATACAACAAATTTATTGTGCTCTGTAGGCTTTCTAGTTACCGAGTTATCAGTTTTTTCATCACGAACCGCTTTTTCAGAAAATGTCCCGCGCACCAAAGGGTCTGACCAGTGCACACCTTACCCACTTTTCCCCAGTCTCGAGGCTGTTTTGTAACGAATTGAATCTGGTCGTCAGTACCACTCATTTCGATGCACGCCACGCCCACTGTGGGCGGGGCTCCGCTTAGCTGATGTATGTTTTGTACTTCTCGAGATATGGTACACCCATCCCACACTTGACCCGGTCTCTCCAGGTGAATCTCCAGAAAGTAGGAATTTCGTGACAGACAGACACCGTGACACCCACAGACAGATAGCGCATTATATAGTAGGAATGACGGGATCGAATTGTCCTTGAGTCCCGCATCTAATGAAATCTTCCTCAGAAACATGATTGTGTCAACTTTTTCATCTGTTCCACATTCTACGTTGGTAAGCATTCGCTGTAAGCTTTTTTAGTCTTACAAAATCAAGCATTTGTATACGATATATTTACAAATGTATTTGAGCCATGCAGAGCCCTCGAAGTTGATCCGCTTAATTTCTGCAATATTATTGGGCTGTCCAGAAAATCCTGCGACACTTGTCCAAGATTTTTGATTGCACCTTCTTTTGTTGAATGAAATATTCAATCAGCAAGATTATCACCATTACCATATAGG